GCCACAGGAAGGAGGGCTGCTTGCCTGCTGCAGTTTCTGTGTCTTGGCTCCATGGGGGGGTGGGGAACTCCCCCCTCCCACTGTCCTTGGACCATCAAGTGGCTCTCTCAGTCCAATCTCTGCTTCCAGGTGGCTCTTTTATTTCATCTCCTTGTGGACGCTTGTCACATTCTCCCTTTTACTTTATTCAAGTGGCTTCCATGTCATCTTTCTATTCAATTTGTCTTGAGAAAAAAAATATTTTTTTCATACAGGATTTTCCCTTTCACTTCCCATAGTCATCCTCCATTTATTCTTATCTCTTTCACTTCTTTTCTTCCGTGATTGTTTTATTTTTGACACTACCAAATAACAGCACATCCCACATTTGAGATATTCTTACCAGCCTTCCAACATTCCCTATGTACCTCAGCCTTTCAAAGCAGACATTATTTTTTTGTTCTTTGCCGAGTGTAGGGATTAAAAAGTGTGGCAAAAAATGAGGGTATTTGTAAGTGGTTACTCAGCTTCCATTTATGTCATCCATTTGGATTCCCCCCAAATCACTTTCCTTCAGACATTTATGTAGCAAACGTCTTCCTTTATAGCCATTGATAGAAGACTTGTAGCTCAGTGCTGAACTGTAGGTCTATTGATGCTCTCTGAGCTTGGCTGTTTTGTTGCAAAAGTTTCATTATCAAACTAGGGCTAGGAGGAGTGGGGTTTGGAATGGAGGAGGAGTATGTGTGGGCATCCTTGGTGCTCTCTTGCAGACATTTCATTACCAAACGTGTTAGAGTTGTAGCCATTTCCTGGAGCATAACATCATCTACCTCTGAATTTCTACTTCGTACAGATTCTCCAAACAATCCAGAAGATACGAGTTCATACTTCCTGATGCTCCATTTGAGCCCTTCATTCATAATGAAACCTTCCTTTCCTTGCATATCTTCCTCATCTCCACGACCTTCCTTTCTCTTTGATTCACAAACCATCCAATCCTTTTCCCTTCCCTTCCACATTCATTCATCTTTTTTTTAAAGAAATGCAACACTTTGCAGAGAAATACCTGGTCCTGTGGAGTAAAAGTCATTCCATCAGTTGCAAAGTTTAGCATTTTTTTTTAGTTAATTCAGGATTTATCCCATTGCAAAATAATAATGATTGTGACAACTTCTCCAGTTGTATCAATTATTCCATGGGTACTTTGAAAAGCTCAGAGCCGTTTATGTCAGATCATCTCCCTTCTGGCAATCCTACATCAGGTATAGTTACTGCGAGTGTTATGACTTTTGTCCCTCTGCTGGGTGACTGGAAGTCGTCTGGTCCACTCTGCTACCTGCTTACCACCTTAGCTAAGCAGGTAGCTTAATGGCTCTGCAGCTGAGATCGTCTGATGGAGGCTACATCCCTGGCACATTGCTGAGAGCCACAAAATATGAACAAAATAAGTAGTGATATGAAGACTGACTCAGGATGCCCAGAGAAGTGGTTTCTTATCTACGGAGCAGAGAAGGGAGGCTGGCCAGTCATGCCCTGAATCCTCTCTCCTTTGCCTTCTCTTCCAGTGTGTGAAGAAGGCTTCTACCTCCACCAGAAGACCTGTCTCAAGACTTGTCCGCCTGGCTTTGCTCCGGCCCTGGGGCCGCCACCTCTGGAGAACAGCCTCGACCCCCACCTGCTGCAACCTCGGCTCTGTGTGCCCTGCCATCCGTCCTGTGCCACCTGCCTGGGCCTCTCAGCCGGCCAGTGCTTGTCCTGCCCGGCTCATGCCCACTACAACAGCCAGGAGCATACCTGCTCCCATCAGACACAGAGCAGCAGGGCCTCCCCTGCTGTGGGGGGAGAGGGCGTGGCTCCTGCCAGCCCCCCTTCCAACTTGCCGCTCTTGGTGGCAGGCCTGAGCTGTGCCTTCATCGTCCTTGTCTTCATCATCGTCTTTCTGGCGCTGCAGCTGCGGTCAGGGCTGTGCCTGCGTGGGTACAAGGTCTACTCGCTGGAGAGCGGAAACCTCATTGCCTACAAAGGGCTGCCTTCCATTCTGTGGCAGGAGGGGCTGGAGGAAGAAGAGGAGGAGGAGGGTGAGGGTGAAAGAACTGCCTTCATCAGAGACCAAAGACTTTGATGAGTCTGCAGCCCCAGGTGAAGCAGGCCGGATCCACCCCCGGGGCTCCTGCTCTCTTCTGGGGCTGAGCCCCTGTGTCTTATGGGCCTGATGCTGCTGCTGGAGTAATTCTCTTCTGGTTTTAATTCACCAAAGTTTTTTAAAAAACTAAACCAGTCTGTGTCCTGTTATAGTGGAAAGGAAGAGGGGTGCAGGGGGCACATCTCCCTAGATGGGGGAGGGCTGAGGCAACAGGACGGCTTCCAGCTCCCTCCTGCCTTGGCCACCAGACATCGCCTATGCTCCTCTCTTCCCTCATGGCCAGGAGGGCCTGCCTAATATGCTGCCCCCTCTCTGCCCCTTACTGGTGGGGGGGAGGAAGAGTACTCACGCCCCCTTGCTCAGTGCAGATGGGCTGCCCAGCCCCCTCCCCCCTTGAGCAGGTTCTCTGGACTCTGGATCTTGGAGGGGCAGCCAGCCGGCTGGCTTGCTCACCAGCACCCCATGGCGGCTGCTCCCTGGATCTGCTGAGTGTTGCTGGAGCTTCCACCTTTCCTATGTGCCTTGTTGCGCCTCCCCCCTCGGATGACAATCTCTGGCTGCGGTCCTCTGGAGCTGCCTGGTGGAGGTTGTTTGGTTGGGGCTGCCCAGGACACTTTTTCTATAACTTTTTTGGTGCACAAATGATTTCTTGTAATTTGAAGAAGTAACCAATTCTTGGGGCCAGTTTTTTTAATTTAATGGATGTGGATATAACTCTAGAGAAATTAAAGTTTATTAAATGTTGGAACTATGCAAACCTGGTTTCTCCTGCTGTATTCTCTCGCCAGGAGCCTCAGTCAGCCCCTAAGCCTTAATCAAGAACTATGATACACCCCCTGCTTACTTCAAGCCCAGGAATATCTGACTCTCTGAAGCCTCTTCCATCCAGCCACTCTCCTCTTCTCTCTCCTGGTAAAATTGAGGAAAGCCCATCAGGACTCCTGGGGGATAGGCAGACTTTCACCAGGCTTTATTTGGCTGGGTCAAATTCCAAATAAAAGCTGATAAAATTCAAGGGCAGAAGCTAATTGTGGAATGATAATAATTAAGGGCATGGATCCAGCTGATTATTGCAACTTGGAGATGTTTAATAGGATTGTCCCATCCCAAGTGCACTGCTCAGTTCCTGGCAGCCACTTGGAGAGGATTGAGAGTAACTGAAGCTTCAGAGAAGGTAGAAGGAAGATTAACAGAGTTGAAAGGGACTTTGTAGGTCATCTAGTCCTACCCCCTGCCCAAGCAGGATACCCTACACCATTTCTGACAAATGGCTGTCCAATCTCTTCTTGAAAGCCTCCAGTGATGAAGCTCCCAAAACTTCCAAAGACAACTTCTGTTCCATTGGTTGATTGTCAGAAAATTTCTCCATATTTCTAACTTGAATCTCTCCTTGATCAGTTTCTATCCATTATTCCTTGTCTAGCCTTCGGGTGCCTTGGAGAATAGCTTGACCACCCCCCCCTCCTCTCTGGCAGCCCCTCAAATATTGGAAGACTGCTATGAAGTCTCCCCTGGTCCTTCTCGTCACTAGACTAACCCTGCGCAGTTCCTGCAATCGTTCATTGTATGTTTTAGCCTTCTGTCCCCTAATCATCCTGGTTGCTCTTCTCTGCACTCTTTCTAGAGTCTCAACATCTTTTTATAGTTCTAAGTGTGGCCTTACTAAGGCTTTATAGAGTGGTATTAGTATCTCACTTGATCTTGATTGTTTCCCTCTGTTAATGCAACTCAGGATTGCATTGGCTTTTTTGCCTGCCACTGCACGCTGCTGGCTCCTATTTAATTTGTTGTCCACTAAGACTCCAAGATCCCTCTCACAGTCCCTGCTATTAGTCTGGTTTCACCCAGTCTATATGTGTCCTTTTGGTTTTTCTTGTCTAACTGTAAGATTTTACTTTTCTCTACATTGAATTTCATTTTGTTCGATAGGTCCCAGTGTTCAAGTATTTTCTGGGGGCTGTAAGAGAATTGGGGGAATCATTTAAACCTGAGGAGGGCTATAAATCACAGAATCATATTATATCCTTGAGCATGAGAAATGAATGGTACAGAGGCTCAGCACTTGTTTTCAGACAGCCAGAGAACAGTATAAAAATCAGACTTAAGTTATAGGGAGGAAGATTACAGAAAGCAGTTTGAGAGGAGAAGCAGAGAGAGGGGGGCCTAATGGCCACAAGGTGGAAGTCTGGGAGTCCCAATTGGTGAAGGCTATAGGCTAAAAACTCAACCTCAGGCAGGGAAGCTGGCTGGGTGACCCTGGGCTCCTCCCCCTCTCAGGACACCATCCCCAGGCTGGTTGTTGTGGGGAAAATAGGAGGAGGGAGGAGTATTGTATGTGTTTTCCACCTTGAGTTACTTATAAAAATAGAAAAGGCGAGATAAAAATAAATAAAAACTACCTTTTCTGGAGGCCTCTGGATCTTTATAGCAGGCTCCTATCTTTTGTTTAAGGAAACTACCTTGGGGCACCTCACCTGGCACTCAGCTTAATGGCAGCCGTGTGTGTGTGTGTGTGTGTGTGTGTGTGTGTGTGTGTGTGTGTGTGTGTGTGAGTGAGTGAGAGAGAGAGAGAAAGAGAGAGAGATTTTTGCAGGAGAAATGGTCCTTTAGCTCAGTGTTTTTCAACCTTTTTTGTGCAAAGGCACACTTTTTTCATGAAAAAA